TACTCCTAATCCTTGTGTTTATCATCAACCATGCAATAAATATTTAAATTTCCCTTTGTTGGGCCATGTGTAAAGGCCATATTAGTCTTGTTATATTATTCAGACTTCTCTTGGAAATGGCATGATGAATTTGGATTTTCAATTCTTGTTTAGCATTCCCTTAGGTTTTGGTTTTTCTCTCCAGTAGTGTAATACTCGGCATGTATTCATAAGTTATTCTGTGTGTTACTAGCTACAATACACCATGTAATGCTTTTGACTAGTGTCACATGTATGATAACATATAGTTTATATCCATTGCATAATGTGTCTTAAAGTTATGTGATATTTAGTTGTTATATTGTGAATGAATAAAATATGTTTTATTATCAATATGTTTATGTTGTTTTGATATATGTCTTGCTTATGTTTGATTATGTAATTATGTCTTACGTCATGAGCTAGAGTGAGATGTTTTTCACTCTCATATTTTGTGTTGCTCTTCTTATATGTTATTGCAAGTAACCTTCATCATAATGTTGAGGATGTTGACGATGAGACATAATCCTAGCGATAAGGCTTAGCCTTTGTGTTTAGGTTTATGTTCTGATTGAATATAACATTGGGGTTTAGTTAGGATTTGTATTTCTTTTAGTTACGTTTTAAGACGATTATTCGTTTTCATCATAATTTCAATTGAATTTCAATTGACTTTTGTTTAAGTTAAAACGTGATACTATTTATGTTCAACATTAGATATTTATTTATAAAATTTTCTATTTAGTTTTATTTATTTGTGTTATATGATATGCATGGTCAAGAGTGTCACATGATGCATCAATCAAATATGGATGCTTCTATTATGTTTAATGAATAACAAAATTTCGTCGATAAAAGTGAAGAAGAACTTAATGGTAAATGAGTAGATGGAAAAATAAGTCATTTAAACATCATTTTAGTTATTTTTAAATTAAATTAAAATTAAATCTTACTTTATTACATATATAAATATGTTTAATTTATAATTGTTGCATTACAACTAGAAGGGAAAATATGTGTCAATGTAATAAATAGATGTATTCTTTTCTAAAAAATTGTAAAAATTTATAAATTTTATTTATTCATTAGCAACATTTAATTTAATAATTAAATCTTCAAAATTTAATATAAATTATAAATTATTAAATGAATTAACGGGAATAAGAATTACTTTTAGGAGTATTTATCCCTCTCCAAAATATTTATATATAAATATGTTATCATTATTAATTAAATAAAATAAATACTTCATTTGTCGACGAGTTTGAATCAAATAATCAATGAGGTAACTCACCAGTCACGAGCTACAACATTCAGATTAGTGACAAGTACTTTGTCCATGGTCGTGGTGTACGAGAAAACCTACCAAATGGTCCAAATATTGCAGGATCAAGACATATCTTTATCTGTTATTACACGAAAAATAACTAATAAACTTATTTACCTTAATTTCTCTCAAATCTCAATATATTTATTAAACGTGCAAGTGCATATGTCAAAAGCCAAAATACATATTTGATATTTCGCCGACGATTGAAATTAAGCACCAAAATTTTCCCTATGGATTTAATTAAGGCGTCTAACGAAGTAATCTATAATAAGTTATTATTTAAGCTTATTTTATGACTTTTTACATATGTAATTGAATATATATGATACTTTTATATTATATATAACACTTTTTTTTTTGGCTGATAAAAAAGAAAAATTAAGGCGTCCAATGTCCTCCACTTTTATCATCTTTTCTCTCCAAAATATTTCTAATATCGACAACCATCCATTTGACCTTTTCAATCATAAAAGAGAAAACACAAAAAATGGAAATAGTATTTCTGAGTCTTTTAGAAAAGAATTTAATTGAAATGTTTACAATTCTTTTTGGGTAAATATTGAAATGTTTACGTCTAACACTACAACAAAAAG